GTGTGTGAGTGTGTGCGTGAATGGGTGAATGAATGTAATGTAAAGCGCTTTGGTCAAGTCTCCTAAGTTGAATAAAGTTGCTATATAAGTACATGCCATTTACCATTCTCCGCCTCGAGCTTCTTTTCTGATCGACGGCTTTACGAGTTCTGCGCAAATATATCGCGATATAATATATCTGACGACATTTTTTTTATAATCAGATTTTTTTTTTATAAATCCTTTTAAATGACACGATAATCACATTTAATGAATTTTATTGCCAATTAAGGGCTTCATGTAGAAAACTGAATGATTTTTAACAACCCGCGGAAACCCTGTCTATACCATGGAACGATTCAAATTAGCGAAATTAAGTTTAGGTCATTCTTCACTGCTATCCATCATTAGCTGATGACCCACTGATGCAGAACCAAGTGTTTGAATGTTACCTGTTTGGGGTCTGTGGGACAAGCCGGGGATGTCAGCTCAATGGTGACTGGACCATCGTTCTGAATGTGGACCTGCATGTAGGCCCCAAACTTCCCATCTAGAAAAAAAAACAAAATGGAAAATCATGAACTAGATGCTTTGTCCTGTAAATGTTTTCAGTTAGTCTCCAAATGAGCGGTTTGTTTTTGTTTTTTTGTGTGGGATAAACAATAAAGAGCAGGACAGGGAGAGGAAGTTTCAGCTCAACTGTTCTTCTTTCTCAGGTTTCTGTAGATTGATGACACCATCTGCACAATGAAGCTGGGGCCATGCTGGAGAACTGATGCATCATCATTTTTCCTCCCAGAGCTGGTGGTGGGGGGGGGGCACTAATTAGAAAGGCTTACGCCTCCCATGCTGGGACGAGGTGTCCTCCTCACCTGCTCCCTAGTGGGCTGACCCAGTTCACCGCCAGCTCATCACTGCGTCTGTAATCCACCTCTCTGCCTGCCGAGACGGCAAATAAACAGCAGGAAAGGAGCTTCTCTGAATAAAAGAGAAATATTCCAACTTCTGATGTCAATTAGTGAGGAAATAAGAATCTGATTCCACTTAATCAATCAGGATGGGGTCAGATTATTATCTTAATCAGAATCTTCCCAGGTGGAAAAATAAATATTCTCTGATATGTCAATAAATGCAGGATGAAGCTTTATTTTACACATTATTTACACTGAAAAGTGTTCATTAAGAGAATCACGGTAAGAAGAAACGCCCAGTTCCACTTCAGGAGTTTAATAAATCAGGACCTGATTAAAATAAAACTTTTTTCTTTCTCTAAATGATTTAAATCTAAACTTGATTGCACAGAAACAGGAATAAGTAAAAATGAGATCGTTTGCCAATGGGATGAGTATATTTATATTATAATAAGATAATTAGATAATATGTACTTGAAATGAGACAATGCATTTGTTTACTTATTTTTAGTGTAAATTGTTTTGTTCCACTTGGCAAAATGTCTCTTTTAACTCCTCAATCCAAGAACCAATGCACTTATTTTAAAGGAAAATGACTTATCTAGATTTTGATTTTTTTTTCCAGTGTAGCAGGTTGCTTTGGATCTATTTAATGATTAACGGATCATTCCAAGTGTGAGCGCCGCTGGAGAGGCTAAGGGTAACATGGCGTCACGAGGAGAGGCATCAACAATGAGCGAAGAGGAGGAATCTGAATCCGGAAGGCTCTGAGAAAAACTAAACTCTCCAGAGCTCAAGGACACAAAGAGGGTGAGACAATAACAGCTGACTGCATCCAGATGGAGTAGATTACACCCTTCAGATTAAACAGAGGGTTGGAACTCGGATGAGGGTTTGGGTGCAGGTGGAACCTTGAAGCAGATGGTCGTGAGCATCAGCCGAGAACAACTCGGACAGACTCACCGACACCAAATAAAACTAGATCAGGGAAAATGTTGCCTTTTCCAAGGAGCCACGATTTCAGCCACAACAAGAACACCGGCTCCATCCTGCCACGTTGGAACAGTTCTGACCTCCTTCTGGTGGTGGCGTTGTCATGGTGAGGTGGCCCTTTCTAAGTGAGGACCACAGCAGCTCATCTCATTAAACGACAGAGCTGTGTTTTCTATATAAAAAAGATTCAAACAATGAAATACCTTCCTTCCTCCATATCATTTCTCCATCCTTTTCTCCCAGCTGCTACAGATCAGTTGCCTTAGCAACCTTAAAGGGGTATAGTCTCACCTGTATTACTTTTTAAATCAATCAACCAGTAGCTCATTCCAGTTGCAACGTTTTTCTAAAGGATGACCTGGTCTTAGTGGCGTATCATTTATTTTTGTTTTTTAAACTCTATTTTTGCTAAATTTATTACTTAAAGGGATAGTTCGGTATTTTTGACATGAATCTGTATGGCATCCCCATCACCAGTGTCATGCAATCACACTGACTTACCCCTGGCAGCGTCCTGTGAGCAGAGTTCTCGTCCAGCTTTGGTCAAGCCGAAAGTAGTCCGGCAGGTTTGCTAGACCCAGCGAAATAAAACGCTTCTCTTCCCAAAACATTATGTGTTCAAAAGAGTGATATTTTTGCATCCCAAAAACATTGTAGTGGAAAAAGTCACACGTCGTTATCACTTGGTCCTATTTTCTCTCTGTTCGTATCAGTGCGCGCCGTCATTCTGACAGCTAGGGCCTACTAACCTGACAACAGCCAGATGCATGTCTCGAGCTAGGCGGAGCAAGACATGCATCTGGCTGTTGTTGAGCTCGCTGTCAGAATGACGGCGCGCACTGATACGAACAGAGAGAAAATAGGACCAAGTGATAACGACGTGTGACTTTTTCCACTACAATGTTTTTGGGATGCAAAAATATCGCTCTTTTGAACACATAATGTTTTGGGAAGAGAAACGTTTTATTTCGCTGGGTCTAGCAAACCTGCCGGACTACTTTCGGCTTGACCAAAGCTGGACGAGAACTCTGCTCACAGGATGCTGCCAGGGGTAAGTCAGTGTGATTGCATGACACTGGTGATGGGGATGCCATACAGATTCATGTCAAAAATCCCGAACTATCCCTTTAATAAAGCACTTTGTTTACAGTTACCATAACAACGCCAAGTCACCGGAGATAAGGAACTGCACCTGTGTGCGACGGGTAAACAAGGAAGTACCCATTTCACACAATAAAATAAGTTGTAAAATTAAGTATGATTATATCGTATCTGGTCAAAACTCAATGCTACAGTATAGTTGTTTTTTGGGAAATGAAAAAGTTGTATCAGACATCCCTAATTAGAACTTGCTGTGTCTCTGCTTCTGTCTCCTTGAACCCCAGTCGGCCTCTGCAGATGGCCGCTCACACTGACCCTGGTTCTGCTGGAGGTTTCTTCCTGTTAAAAGGTAGTTTTTCCTCTCCACTGTCGCTACAAGCATGCTTAATGTGAGGGATTGCCTTGTAGTCGATGCAATCAGCTGGTTTCTCTTAGATAGAAAAATTTGAATCAATCTGACTGGATGATCTGGAGAACTGTAAAGTGCTTTGACATGACATGTGTTGTGAATTGGCACTATAGAAGTGAAATGAATTGAAATTACCCCCAGATTCCACATTCTCCGTAAGCACTCCTCCCCGCTCACATACGTCGTGCGGAGTACTTGTCTGCCATGTTAATCAATGAGAGCTGTTCCAAATCCACCGCTACTCCTCCACACGTAACCGTCCACGTATGTCTTCTCCGTCCGTCACCGTCAAAATACGAAGCAGAGCTATTTTTGCTCCGGTCCGGTCAGCTCAAGATCAGCAATAGCAATCACACCAAACAGGAAAAAGAATGGTGAGGAGATCTGGTTTTTCAGATTAAAATATAGTGACGACAGATCGGTAACTACAGATTACAGCATAATTCTAAAAACTAAAACTATCAACTTATTTAAAAGTTTGGATGCAAACTATTTGTTCTTCAACAGACCAGGAAGCAGATTTCTCATCTCCATTAGATGGATTACCGAGAGGCTTAAAAGTTTAATCAAATCATGTCAAAAAAGGCTTTTTATCGCAGGAATGGATCAAGAGATGTGGAGTTTAGAAATAAGAGTTCATAAAAAAGCTATTTTGTATCCACAACAAAAACAAAATACTTGGGCAGAAACTGCACATATGCTGATGTTTTTTGTTTTTTTTTTATATTTCATATTAAATTAAGCGTTAATTTCTGCCTGTTTTGCTCCTATGAATTTAAGAGCGGAGCAAGACGGGAGGAACGGCGGAGGCTGTAGGCTTTGCTTTGCACAGGCGGTCTGGAACGCAGCGGGGCGGAGCGGAGGATGTGGGATTTCTGGGTTAGAGCTGCTGTAGATCCGGTCGGTCTTTTACCGCGCTGAGCTGTGGCTTTACTGCTGGAGTAGATGCTGGCTTATTTCTAACATCAGGAGGATCTAAAACATTAGTTTAATCACAACCATAAACAAAGCAACTCAAATCTTTTATTAGTTCAAGCATCAGCATCACCCTATAGAAGACACCACAGTGCGTTTCAGGGCAGTCAGCTCTATTTAGCTGCATCAATTCTGTGGTACTGCCAGCAGATGGCGCACGTCTCTAGATGTCTGTTCATTGCTCAAGCTTGTTGTATATTATCTTGTATTATCATGATCAGATGTTTTTATCTAGTATTAAACCAGTAGGTGAGTATTCCTTTAAGAGCGATCATCATTCAAACACACCTTTAATGAGCTCAGGCTTGTAGGCGCCCCTCATGCTCTCCAGGATGCTGTTGTAGAAGGGCTGGGCGAGCTCTGCAGGCATGGCCGAGTGGAAGTCCGGCTTGTTGCCCTTCAGGATGCACTGCAGGGTGAACTGGCTCACACACAGCACCTCCAGGTCCCTCTCCACCACGCTTTTAGCCCACGCCCGGCCGTTCTCGTCCTCAAACAGCCGCAGGTTCAGGATCTTTCGGACCCTGAGAGCAAAGAGTGAAAAAGTGCTGAGGCAACATTGCAGCATCAAACCCCGCATGAGAAAGCAAAGTAAGCCGCCCTCACATGTACTCGGCATCTCTCTGAGTGTCGTCCACAGAAATCCCAAGCAGGACGCAGATTCCCCGTCCGATGGAGCTGACCTCTTCCTCTCCCACTGCAGGATGATAGACAGACGGACTCACCCAGGAGTTTAACAATTGGCGCCACAAACATTTGCCTCATGTCCCATTCTGTGTGATGCTGGAGATGCTGTTCCAGAGGCTTCCTGTGTTTCTGCAGACAGCCTGATGCTTCAGATACTGCATGGAGCTAAGGCTAGTCATCTTAATCAGTGTCTGTTCTTCACATATTGAACTTTTTTAAACGTCTCTCCCCATTTAATGAGAACATCATCTCCTTTAATCCACATTGCTGGATGTGCAGGAAGGAACGTCTTTAGTTCCTTCTAACTATTTTCAATTTATCATGGGGTAAAGTGTTAAGCTTGGGGGAGGTTTCAGTCTCTATGTACAGTGAGGAAATATATTGCTGAGCATTAAAAGATGGAAAATTTAAGCTAATGCTAAGCTGACAGATAGGAGAGATTGAAAATGTTTTTAAGCTGCTAAATGCACAGCAGGAAGTCAGGCTGGTTTTTCCATATCTAAATTTGCAGAAGAATTAATGTTAAACATTCGCAGTCAAATTTAGTCCTTTGCTTCTGTTCATTAACACTCTGCCTTTATGCTTTTCAACTCTGTAGAGCAGGGGTCTTCAACGTTTTCTAATCTAAGGACCCCCAAACTGATGCTGAGATGGAGCAGAGACCCCCTAATTATATATTGTATGAAATTGTGTTCTATCAAACTGGTCCTAGAGTCTATTACAGATGGAGTCATGTAACGAAAGTAATTTCTCCCTGGGATTATTAAAGTATTTCTGATTGTGATTCCTGGTTGATGGGACAGGTGTTGTGAATGAAACGGTGCCCAGCTTGAAAGAGCTCCTGTGTGTCGCTGAATGTGTGCATTGATGACTGAAAGACATCTTCTGCCTCCATTTATCTGTTTACTACAGTCTGTTGAATTCATATTAATGTGGATTTAAAGACATTTCAATTAGTGGTAAAAATTGCAGGGGGGAATATAAAAAAAAAGTCTAATAAACCAAAACTTTCGCGACCCCCATGCAGTACCTTCATGGACCCCCTAGGGGTCGCGGACCCCCTGTTGAAGACCTCCGCTCTAGATAATATCTAAATTCCTGACATGTAAGGCAAAAGAACACATAAATATGGCATAAAATAGTTACAAGTTTCATTGTAAAAATGGCAGGATCTTCACTTTTTTCCTTTTCCCCCTCTTTTTAAATTTAACAACTAGGAATTTGTTTAAATTTTAACTAGAATGCAAAAAAAATCCACCTTTTTTTTCATAATTGCTTTAAAATAAATCCTCAGAATTAAAATTTGGTCAGAAAACTGTCTATTTAAGTTAATGGATTTTGTGATAAACTCTTCCATGTATTATTGGAAGATCATAAGAATCTTAGCTGAGGCCAGTAGTCCAAATAAAGCTCTAATGTTATTCAGTTCTTCATCTTGCTAATTATAAAACATTAAATATGTCTAAAAAAAATGACCTCCAAGCTATTCCTTTCCTTTAAACTAATGAATGATTGTTTTTAATATAATTTTATTTCATTATCATTATTACCATAGATTCCCTTTTTTTTTTTACTTTTTTTATATTGCTCTTAGTGATGCATATTGATTATAAGAAAATATTATTTAAAATTAAATATTTTATATTTCCCATTATCTTTTTAGGAACTATAATTTTATTTTATTTTTCTACTTTTTGGTTTTTTATATTTTATTTTAGTCTTAACCTCTCACAGTCACTTCCTTAAATTAATAAAATAAATATTTTGTTTGACATGGTAACAGATAATATAAATTTCCACCCTCATTACTAACTGGAGTTTGTAAATAAATATTTTTTTTACATAAAAGTAACCATAAATTATTTAGTATGAACTAAGTCAGAAACAGAAACAATAAATCTTATTTCTCTGGGGTTAGTTGGCCATTTCCCTCTCAGTCCTGAACAGTTTCTACCAGTTAGCTTCCAGCTCCGTTCATTTCAATGGGAAGGCTAATGCTAACCGGCTAGCTAAGCTAACCGCTGTGTGCAGTTACCGGCTGCCTGATTATTTCTCTGTTCAGTCAGTCACAGATTTCACATCTGTCAGCTCGGCTGACTCTAAACTCCAGCTCACCTGTCACCCTCGCCTTGGTCACCCTCTGGATAATCGCTCTCATTGTTGTGTTTTTGTTGGACAGCACGCGCTCAGCTTCCGGCTGCTTCCAGTTGTCAGTGGTAGTTTGTCGACCTCTAGCGGTGGACTTCTGAACAACAACAACAATCCACACCTTGGTTTCTGTTAGCAATGAGGATACCAAAGCCATTAAAGGTCATGCTTTTAAAAAATCCAGTCATTTCACATTTTTCTTTTGAGTGTTTTAAAATGCAGAGGACAGCAGGACAAACTAGTGGCTCTCAATCCTGCTCCTCAAGTAGCACTGCCCTGCATCTTTAGATGTTGCAGCATTACTTCTTCTAAGGTTTTATGGCGGTTGGCATACTAGTTCAAGTGCATTACCACCTCCAACTCATAAGGAGTTAAACATGGAAACAGGAAACAAGGCTCACCCCAGAAAAAATGTAAAAAAAAAATCCTAACTGTATGTTTTAACCCAACATAATGAAATACATAATCAAATGTATCCTCATAATTACTAGTTTTTCTTTATGCTTATGTCACTCTGCCTGTTTCTGACTGTCTTTCTCGTTTTCCCATCATACTTTCAACCATTTCTCAGTTTAAATCTTTCACTTTAAGAGACTTTTTTTTGCAGCTTTCACTGTTTTTTTTTTTTTTTTTTTCTCGGTTTTCTTTGTCGTCTGTGCACTACAATTGGTTACCTCTACCATAAAAAGTACAAAATCCTTCTTTTTAAGAATCAATGAGTCTTTTGCAATGTATGGGCTCTCCTCCAGAGGTTTTGCACTTGTCATTTGCACTACTGTTGGTTTTAGGTCTTTCTGACTGGGATGGGATTATTTTTGCAGCTTCAGCATAACTTATTCCGAGCTTGAATTTCACTTTTATTATCTCATTAGATCTGTTACTCACTTCATACTCGCAATATCCAGCTGTATGTTCTCCACCACAGTTACAACATTTGATTTTAACTACTTTTCCACACTTCCCATATTCATGCATATTCAAATGGTTGAGAACCACAACCATAAAATGTAGTTTAACCAGGTTCCTACAGCCATTGCAAAATAACTTGAAGAAAACCAATCCACATTTTTAATTACCACACTTTTAATCTGAGTCATGTTTCAGTACAGCTGGCAGAGAAACAACACCAGAACATTATTCTACCATCACCATGCTTTAAAGTAGATTAATTTTCTTTATGCTCGACTATGTCAAACATATTTCTTTTCATTGCAGCCAAAAAAGTTCAGTTTCCATCCTGTCTCCTTGGTGGTTCTTGTAATTCCCAAAATCCTGATTCCATTTACCCTGAAAGGAACAGCTGGACTTAAATCACGACAACTTCAGACACATCTTGGTGTTACAGCAGGCCATCAACCCCAAGCAATCCTTGGCATAAGGTGGCCAAAGAATGAACTTCCTAACTTTGCCTCTGATGGTTCATGCATGGAAGTATTAAAAGATTTAGACACTGATTTGGATTACATCAAAGAGTATTTGAAAATAAATAAACAAAAACTCCAAAACTAACAATGCCCTGATGGGATGTAAAACAGTTTTCCTGAATCAAATAGTGCTTTGTTTGTCTATTGTATTCTATTTTCTTCTATATTTAAAAAATCAATCTCCTTCAGATTAACAAGGTTTTCACTTTTTGTTCTTTAAAAAAAAAAAAAAGATACACTCGTTTTTCACGTTTCAAAATGACTGAGGGTTATAATCAGATTTGGTCAAAGAGGCAATTTGATCCCAAATAAATAAAATAGGCAGTAATGCACAGATTTTATAAACTAATATATATATATTATATAAGGTACAATGTTAAATTACTGACATTTAATCTTAGGCTGTAAATGTATAAATATTGAGTTTTGTGGGAGGGATTTTTTCCATAATCAACATGTTTTAACATAAATACATTTGTTTAACCCTTCTAATCTCAGAGTTTATACATAACTCTTTAGAAACAAAGCAACATATCAGAAATCTTAAATAGAGATTTATTCAAATATTAATGTTTCTATGGAAACTGAGTCATTTTGTTTATTGATTTTTTTTTTGGCAGACAACAACAAAATGTCCGGCAGTCCCCTGGCTACCCAAACACAGCAGCAAAGTGTCAATATTGAGCTGCATGTAGATTCTTTCATCATCCTGTCCAGGTGCTATTGGGTGCCGTCTCCAGGTCCTCCAGTCAATGACTTGATGAAACTGTAGATCCTGGTGCTGTATGGGACAAAGTCCTCCTTGTTTTTGTAGATGATGACTGTTTTGGAGTGAGCGGTTTGGTAGATCTGCTTGTTGGGTTCTTCTATGTCTTCAATTTCTTTACTCACTAAAATGGAAAAAGAAAGTTTAGTTATAGGTTTCTGATATCAGAGATAATACATACAATAATACATAAAGCAAAGTTTTTAGGTTTAAAAAGCATAAATTAAAGCTAAAGAACAGACAAATGAAGACGAATTAATGGTGAGAGTTTATTTTAATGATCCATCATCATTTGTGCTGACAGCTTTAACAGAATCACTGTAAAATGAAAATATCTTAAAATTAGATAAGTTCTTATTGAAGTTCCCAATCAGGCAAATTAATCATCAGGAAACTAGCTGCCAGCTAAGGTAGAAATCCACCAAAACAGGAGAAATCCTTAAATTATCATCATGTTACTGACGCAAAAAAGATTCGACACTTTGAAAACCTCAATTTCGGCCAAACTGGGTTTTGTTTCCGTGGGAAATTTCCCTCACCTTCTGGATCAGTATAACGACCTGTGTGTCTAAAATAAGCGTAGGAGCCCAGCATGGTCCAGATGCCCACCGCGTAAAGCGCGGACACTCTGCTGTTCCACTTCATCAAGTCTTTGAAATTCATCATGAGGCTTTAAAAGAGTAAGAAGTCTTAAACTGTTTGGAATTCTTCAGAGGAATCGTTCAGGGCGCCGCCATGACACTTCTTTCTCTTCTCCCAAGTTTGGCTTTTGCCATCATTTGAGTTGCATTAGCGCCACCCTCTGGTTTACAGAGGCCACTGCAACACTTTTTTATTTTCTATCAACTACCGCCAGCTCTACCATATTTAAAAATACATACATAAATAAATAAATGCTCGATAAATAAATAAGCATACAATGAATCCCCCCCCCCCTCCCCCCAACGCAATAGATAAATAAATGAATGTAGGTAGAAATTAAAATATACTGTTGGAGATAAATGTATATATCTCTTTTATTTAGCTTCTTTATTTATTCGGCTTTGTAATAATTACCTTATTTATTTATTGTCCATTACAATCTTCAACTTTTAATTACTTATTTTATAAAGTATCTATGTGCATGTTATAGTATTTTTGTCTGTTTTATTCTTGCTTTGTATTTTTATTACCCTCTTTATTTCTTCCATGCTATTTCTGCCTGTTGTTTTGCAAATGAGGAGGGGGGTGTCTTAGAGGGTCAACTTCTGTATTATTCCGAAAATTCTATTGTTTATAAACTTAGTTACCACCTTAAATGTTACCTTGGACTCTTTGATAAAAGTGTCAATACACAGACATCCCAAAATTAAATAATTACATTTTTGAACCTAAATACAACTTTTCAAATTAACACAGCAAATGATATTGATGAACTTAATCATGATAGCCCAAAAGCCGGTTTTAAAATGAAAAATATAAAAATAAACGTACAGATATTTTAAATATTTGTTAAACGTTTTCTTTTTAATGTAGCATTTTAATGGACATACAATTAATAATAATCTAGCAGCGTTCTGTCTCCCCCCTCAGTCATTTTCACAGTTGTGGCATGTCTATAAAATTCACCTCCCGCTGCGCCCATGACTGCAGCCACAATTCCCTGGATTCTGAGTAACTTTCCATCACTTTATGTGTTAGACACGCAACTAACCGTGTAGTTTCAAAGTAAACAGCAAATGATTCAGTGTAACTAAGTTGTAATCAATTAATACAACATTCAGGAAAGTATGACAAAAATACATGATATGAAAATTTTTACTTTCACTCCTCGAAAGTGAATTTTGAGGATGATCTTGGATGTTTCTTCTCTCTTCTACTTAAGGTGGTGCTGATGTTTTTCTGCAAACCCTGGCCTAGGCCAGCCATAGAAACAAAAAAAACACCAACAAAAAAATGAAAGATTAATCCCAGATTAATTGTTATAGTTATATGTAACTATTTTATTAGGTACTTTTATTAGAGAAGTTTGAATAAAACCTAAAACTTGTGGAACTGTTCCTCTTTTTTTTCTTTTTTAGTAAGAGTGACAGAACTATTTAATTCTTTTAAGTAATTTAAAAAATATTAGAATTTTACAAGTAAAAAGTATGAATTAAGCCATCTGGGTTTAGCAGGTTAAATCTTCTTCAAAAGGTCCTGAACCTGATGTAAAAAACCTTAAAAACGTTGAGGACCTCTGCACTGAACATGACACTAGATTTATTATACTTCGCCCTCTCCTAAAAGACTTCCAACGTGTTATTAAAGTCCTTTACTTTTCATATAGTTTGTTGATTTTTTATTAATCATTCTCTCCGGATAGTTAAATTTATGGCTTTTTAAGAGTCTCTATTTTCCTGTTTTTTTCTCTCTCATGTATGAGGAGACTGTTAATATATTATTTATCAATTAGAAAATCAGAGAAAGATGATTCATCTTTCCAGCCTAGTGGAAGTTCCCACCCTCCCAGACTCTTTCATTAAATTCTAATGAAATGTTTTTAGATCATTAATTTAGATTGCTTACATTGCATTGCTTAAATTTCAACAGATCACTTTGGAACTTATTAAAGACTTCAGAAAGAGTGACAGAACTATTTAATTCTTTTAAATAACTTAAAGTAAAAAGCATGAATAAAAACATCTTATTTAAATCTGATTTGTTCAATCTGCAGGCTTTCAAAATGTATAATTTCCAGCTTTAGTCCTTAAGGTAGTCACTCTTTCTACTTTTAAGGCTGACTTAAAACTTTCCTTTTTATAAAGCACCAATACACTTTTTTGAATAGTTAGAAAAGCTCAGATTATCTTGATTTATCTCTACAGCTATGCTGCTAAAGGCTTACACTGCCGGAGGACATAGGCGCCTTTATTCCTCATTGTTTTTATTTGA